CGTTGAGAATCGCACTTCTTTCCGGAGTGTAATTCTTTGCAGGAAGGGCAGGAGGGGAAAAAAGGTGGCCAGGAGGGCAACCAGTCTCGCCTGGTTCCTGGAACTTGCAAAAAGGGGTTTCCGAGTTTTCTCCAGCCCCAAGTTGCTTTCTCGTTGGAACCTCGTTACTTTGGAGAGTTTTAGAAGGCGCCGAAAGGAGCGGGAGGGGATCTGTCTTGCCAACCGCACCGGCCCCGAGACCGAAGGAAAGAAAGAGCCTCTTCTTTCTTTGTTTTGAAACCTAAAGGATCCCTGTGCCAAGCCTCAAGGGTCCCGATGCCCTCCCTTGGCCCCTTCCTCCTTTCTGTTGCGATCTGGGCCAGCGTGTGCAGGCGGCCGGGATCCACCGCCGGCGCCCAGAGCGGATCCATTCGAGCCTTGCGGGCTTCGAACCAGCGGAGAGACGGTGAGTGTTGCCAACTCTTCTTTCTCCGACTTTTTTTTCCCCTTTTGCTCCTGATCTTGTCCAGGCGGACGCCAAACCCGAGAGGTGATGAAAAGACGCCCCCTGGAATCCCTCTGAGGTGATGCACTTCTCTGGAAGGGAGAGAAGAGGGATCCAGAAAAGGTGGCAGGTGGACCTGGGTGGATGGGTCAGAGCTTGGAGGGGAAAAAAATGTTTTTCACTACAACTCCCATAATCCACCAGCTTCTGGAAGCTCCACGCCCAAGCCACACAGCTAAGGAGGGATTCCGGGAATTGTCATTGTAGAAAAGTAACTTTTCCAAGCTCCGTGGATGCAGGAAACCCAAAACTGCATCACACCCCCCATGGTTCTTATGGGATCATCATGTTCTTGGGATACAAAGTGCAGCTTCCCTGTGGTTGCGCATGCCACACATGCTACACACGCTCACTGTTGGCGTGGTCTTGATAACTGTCACATATTTGGCAGTGTTTTCCATTCAGCCCATGTGCTGCTGGCACAGGCAGGGGTGAGATGGGAGGAAGTCCATGGAAGTTTTGCTCCGTCTTCGTTGTCGTACTTTTACTGTACAAACAAGAGGAGCACCGGCTCCTATAGCTCGTCACAGAGCTGTCCAGGTTTCTGACGTAGTGTGGCGTCACATGCAGGCTTGCTTCGGAGTGTGTCTGTGTCCAGAGAAACATAGGGCTGATGGAACGAAGAGGCTCAACCAGAGGTCCCAGAAGTGGTTTTGGAAAAGGCAGATTCACACCTTTGTGCATGTACACTCTGGTGAGTGGAACGGCACAGTCTGTGTTTGTTTCGAAACTATCCTAATGCGCTCTAGGGACTGGGGAGCCTATATACATTCATAACTGTTGGTGCTCGGAGTGGTTGGGTGATTGGACAATTGAGCGGGGCATTTTGCCAGTAGAATACGGGGCCCATTGCCCATAGCTGACTGCTATCTCACCAATTTTGTATGGACAAGACCTCAAGTCCACCTTTTCAATCAAATTTCCTGGCTCTTTGCTTCAGACTGAATAGCAGCCTTCCTCAACTTGGTGTCTTCCAAATATGTCAATGGGATTTGGTAATCATCAAGTTGGAGGATGTTACCATACACTAGAAAGACCAATATCAGGACCTGCTCTATCATTAGGCAAAATGAAACCGTTAATTTATTTAGCAGATTTTTAAGCTTCATGAGAAGGCAGAATTTTCTTACCTTGCTACTGTTTATGTGTTTACTACTAGGGGAATAGTGTTTCTGGCATCTGTCACTTCAGTGGCCAAAATAACATGGCCCTGGATATTATGTCGCTTGATGGAACAAGGGGATTTTTGCATTCCCTGCAGAGTTTTTGGATGTGTGCTTACATTCTTGCAGTCTATTAATCTTCTTCAGAAAGCCTAATTCCACTTCTTGATAACTTGTTAAAAACGGAGAAAAGACAGTGATTGGATTTGAATTTACCTGGTGGCTGCATTTAAGAACCCAGAGAAAAATATCTTTGCAGGCAAGGTTGGGCACACACTCAAGGCTTTAAAAAAGGCAGCGAAAGCTTTATCCTGATTCCAGATGCAAGTTATCTCTGTTTCCCCCTCATATTTCTTCTAAGAATATGAAGCAAGCCCGGCTGGATCTAACCAAACGATCTGTGAAACATTTTGCTAGGACAGTTTGTAAGAAAGAACAGGAGAAAAGAGCTGCTCGGTGCAAATGACATATTCTGGGACATTGCCTGGTATTCGGATCAGAATGATTCAAGCTGTGGTTAATTTGTAAAATGAGAAATGCACAAGCATGCCTTTATGCTCATTTCTGGATTAAAACCCTACCCCTCTCCTTCTATATGGCAGGCTTCACAATGTCAAGGTGAAATCATAGATTCTGTGTATGACGAAAGATAGCATCCCCTTCTTATTGGTTCCTAAAATATATGAAGGTTCCATTCTAGAATGTTGGGAACCCCTTCTGTTGACCAGTCATCCATCTGTAAGTCACAAGGTGCCTACAGATGGATGTAGAATTAATGAACAGGAATACTGAATCTACTATACATTGGAAGATGAACTGAATAGGACTTCAACATCCCCAAAGCTTTGGGATAGAGATGGGCATGAACCAATTCATCCAGGTTCATAAAGTTCTGCTTTAGAGGTGCTGCTGCTCCCCTCTTCCGCTTCCTCCGTCTCAAATGGCCACTCACCAGACCCAGCTTGTATGTTTTTTCCCCATCTCCTCAACTGATCTTCCAGTATCAGCAACAGCTCCGGCTTCACTGCCCTGCCAGCTTGGCTGATCTCCCACTCAGACAAAACGACAGGGCAGAGGAGTCTGTGCTCTTGCTCATGGCTGGGAGATTATTTGAGCAGGTGGAAAAGGCAAGCAAGCTGGGCCTGTCGAGTGACTGTGTGAGTCAGAGGAGGTGCAGAGGCGAGCAGCAGCAGAATCTGTGCTGCCACCTTTAGAAACTGGGATGGAATGGGAGGAATCGGTTCTTGCCCATCTCTACTTTGGGAAGATTTGGGAACCTTGGTGAACTAGAGCAGGGGTCTCCAAACTTTTAAGCCTGAGGGCCACACTGTATATTTTTCACATTTTTGAGGGCTAAAGGAACATGTGTGCATGCATGTCCACGTGTATGTGCAGCCCTGAGGGCCACACTGTATATTTTTCACATATTTGAGGGCCAAAGGAACGTGTGTGCATGCATGTCCATGCATATGTGCAGCCACACGCACACATGCACGCACCCCCGCATGGATGCCTGCCTGCACCCCCCACACGGATGCCCCCACACACACAGAGGCCCCATGCCTGCCTGCCTGCACCCCCCACACGGATGCCCACACACACACAGAGGCCCCATGCATGTGCACACATGCATGGCTGAAGGGAATGGGTTAGATAAAACAGCAAGGCTGGCCAGATGTGGCCCGCAAACTGAATTTGGAGACCCCTGGACTAGAGGATCACTTGACAATTGAAACAGTTCTCTGTTTTATCTGCCTCCTGAAGGTGATTGGGTGGGTGGATTCAAAGAGTTACCACCACAGATCTAATACTGAAGGTTTCTCTCCTTCCTCTCATTTCATACCTATGTTCAAATCAGACAAGATAGGTAGCATGTGATTAGAGCACAATAGCAGTTTGCCAGAGCTTGATGCCAGAGCTACAGAACTTGCTAACAAAGTCCATGTTTACCTTCTGGTGGACAATCACAAAACACAGCAATCTGAGTTGTACAGTCCTGGAGATAAGAAAGCTCGTTCCATGAGAGCCAGACACCTTTCCATGCTCAAGGAATTCCTGCTTCGAAAGATGCTGCCGTTTCTGTCATATGGATGACCTTGAGCCACCTTGGATCTCTGAAGACCAAAGACATAGATAGGTGCATAACCTTCTTTATACCTTTGAAACAGAATTTTGACTGAGAAAACCAATGCTAATCGCTAAAGGATTTGTTTGTTTTTTGATTTCTTAGTGCCACTGAACTCTCTGAATTTCGATCATTTTTTGGCTTAAGACAATTCGTTATGTGGGCCTCCTTCCCTACTCCTTTATTCCACATACAGAAGCAGACTGGAAGTTGAACATTACTTCCAGCACCAGTGATGAGGCAGTGTATTTAGTTGTATCAGAGATCAGCAGTTCAGTGTAGAGCACACAACAGCTCATGACATCCCTGGCTCTCTGTCTGCCAAGAAAGGAGAATGGTTCCAGAGGGGTCTACCATTGTTGTGCCCTCCCTACACCATCCACCATCTAAGGGCCTGTCTCGCTGTGTGTAAAGAAGAACAAATGCTCATAATAAGGAGAGTGGCTTGCGCTTGTGCTGGAATGACTTTCTTTGTTGGTTTTGCACATGTGCCAATAGCTGGAAGCTGGCTGAGTGACAGGAGGCTACTCATCATTCATGTGCTGGCCCTTCCACCGGCCTGCCCCCATCCAGATGACTTTCTCAGATGCCACAACTTGAATAAAACAGCTTAGCAAATTGCTGCCTGACCCCCACCCCCCACCCCCTTTGTATAACTTGGCTGAGAATCTTAGTGCTTCAGTTTTCTCTATCATCAGTCTCTTTGTGATTGAGTACAATCAGAGTTATCCCCCCCCCAGCTGTTTTGTTTAATGAGGGAATGGAGCAGAGAAGGGAATGTGGGAGGGGGGGATATAGCTGTGAATACAATCTCTAACCCCCACTGTGTAAATATTAGACATGCAAGGCTTTTACAGCTGCAAACAGCTGGAATCCAATGTTTCTCCACAGCAGATGTTTACTAAGGGAAGCCCTTGAAGGAACAGAAGTACTTAAAGGTCTCAAACAAGGTCCCAAGGGTTGAAATAGGTATATTATCTCTCAGAAGGAGTCATTTCCCTGGGTCAATGAGATCCTAGTGTCTCTCCCTCTCCTTCTGTTCACTTACGTCATTGTTTTCTGAGGGCACAGCTGAAAGAGATTTTCTCCCACTCTTCCTCCCATATCTTAACCAAACCAGATATTTGGAGACCAGAGACCGTTCCCTGGTTGGAATATAAAAATAATAATAATAATAGAGGTACAGTAGTTTGGAAGATCATTTTGCATAAGGATGGAACAAATACGTGCCCATTTTCACATCTTGGATGGAAAAGAATGACTTGGCATACTGAAGCGCTCCATCGAAAAATCTCTCAACCGCTATGGGATTTTTCTGTGGCAGCACAAGAGAGGAATGCCAAGGCCTTTCTCTCCCCCCACACCCCCATCCTCAGCCGCATTTGCAAAAATCAGTGCTGGCTGCAGGATCTTAGGAGTTGTGATCATAGACCC